AGGGGGTGCTAAAGGGAAAACAGAAGACAAGAGGAGGCTACAAGGGACTTCCTCCTTCCTGTAGCCTGGTGTTTCTTGACAACAGAAGTTGGTTCTTCCCAGTTCCTTTCTAAACTCCTAAAACCAGCCTCCTGCCCCTCAGAGGCATTAGCATCAGCTAAGTAAGGCTCAACTGAAGCTAGCTCCTCCAGGTTCCTCCCGTGAGGGCTTGAGAAACCAGCAGCACCAGGCAACACCTTCTCCCCAGAGAATCTGGGCGCAGCTCCTCCAGATCCCTCCAGATTTCTAGGTTCTGGTAACCTCAACCTTCCTCCCTTTGTTTTTCAGTCCTGGATGAGAAAACTCCTTTATGCAGTTATTATATCAAAGTTACTTTAATATTCCTTTTTGCTTTTTTAGCCCTCCATCAAGGGTTTAAACCAGTTTCCTTTATGGAGTTTATGGTGTGGTTTCCGTTTTGCTGATTGGATCTGAACTGACATACAGATAAACTGAGCTCACAAGAAAGTAAGGGAAATCCCCAGGAACCAGAAACAAAGAATTAGTGAGCAGGTTTAGTGGCTGATGATATGCTGTCCTAGCAGCATAAAGAATCTTTAACACCCTCATAGGTTCAGAAGACAGATCTTGAGCCCACAAAAGGCATTGAGATCCCTGTCCAGAGGCTGAGACTCTTAAGTTTATACTCAGTAAGATAACAGACTAGGAAAAAAAATCTGTCCAGAGAGAAATAAAAAAGCTTGCCTTGCTCACCCAGTGAGGTAGAAGGAAAAAAATCTTCTAGTAATTCAAAACAGGCTGAGTGAGGTAGTTGCAGTAATCCCAGCACATTGGGAGGCTGAGGAGGGTGGACTGCTTGAGCCCAGGAGTTCAAGACCAGCCTGGGCAACATGGGAAAACCCTGTCTCTACAAAAAATGTAAAAATGTGCTGGGTATGGTGGTGTGCACTTGGGGTCCCAGCTACTTGGGAGGCTGAGGTGGGCGGATTGCGTGACCCCAGGAGGCAGAAGTTGCAGTGAGCCAAGATCCTGCAACTGCACTCCAGCCTGGGCAACAGAGCCAGACAGATCCTATCTTAAAATAAAATAAAATTCTAGAAAGCAGAAATTAATCTGTAGTGGAAAAAAAAAAACAATCAGTGGTTCGTGGGACCAGGGTGAATGGAAAAATGGACTGTAAAGAAGCATGAGAAATCTTCTGGGGATGAGAGAAATGCTCTGTATTTCGACTATGGCTGCTTTTTGCAGATGCGGACATCTGCCAAAACTCAACTTTTTCTGTTTTGTTTTGTTTTATTTTTTACAAGACATTGGAAACCACAAAACTCAACTTTCTTTAAAATTATTATAGACACAAAATTGAAAACATGAGACAAAAACAAGATCATGAAAAACAAGCAGATTTGAAAATGAACCAAAGAGCACTCCTAATAAGTGAAAAAGGTTAGCTAATGAAAATAAGAATTCAGAAAGCAAATTAGACCTAGCTGAAGAGTAAACTAGGATACTAGAAGAAAGATATAAGGAAATTACCCAGAAGTTAACAGAAAGATATAAATGGAAATTATGAAAGAATAAGATGTGAAAGACAGAATGAGGAAGTCCAACATAAGTTAAACATGAGATCTGAAAGAGGTAAAGAGGTAATGATTGGGAATTTTTACAAAATTAGTGAAAAGACATGAAATTTCAGATTAAGGAATTACTATATGCCCCCAGTACATAGTGATTTAATAAAATTAAATTCACAACCTATAATGGAAATACAGAACACAAATGACAACAAAGAGGATCTTAAAAACAACCAGAAAGAAAGATAGCTTACCTACAAAAAAATAAGTTAATTTGTAAGCATAGTTCTCAAGAGTAACAACAAAAATTCAGAATTTCAATGAAATAACACTTTCAAAGTGTTGAGACAATAATTGGAAGCCTAATACACAGCTAAACTATCAATCAAGACTGAAGGTGAAATAAAGATTTTTTTAATGAAGACAGTGTTTACCACTAACAGATTCCCACCTAAGCAAACATATGAAGGATGTATGTATCTATTCAATAAAAAAGGAAGGAATAGGCCAGGCGCAGTGGCTCAAGCCTGTAATCCCAGCACTTTGGGAGGCCGAGGCGGGTGGATCACGAGGTCAAGAGATCGAGACCATCCTGGTCAACATGGTGAAAC